AAGAAAGAGGTTAGGGAGAGATCAGATGGGTTTTTTCACAGGATGTTCCCTTTCCATTTGGCATTTCTTCCCAACCAGTTTGGTGGTATCTGGTAACATTAGGTCTTGCAGCAGGGAGTCTCATGAGTTGTATCTTACTGGGGAAGTCGTAGATTGTGGCATTTCATATGTAGTGTCTGGTCATATCCCATCCTGTCACCTTTTAGTGTGCTGCCATCATGTGACACCTTGCTGGTGGCAAGAGGTCACTTTGTAGCTCATCATTACAGACCTTGTTTTCTGTGTTTCTGTTGACGTTTTCTTGAGAGTTTGAATGTGACTTTGGACCATGTTGCTGAAATATGCTTCCAATTTACAGCAACCCTCAGTTCTCTCAACTGAAACGGGACTGAATGCACTCTAAGTGTGAATAAATACAACCTGATGAAGGTTAATTGCACTGGAAAATTTTATCTTCACCACCATTTTGGTGTGGAGGCAATTTAGTAAAGGCTGTGCAGTCAAGCTGGATGCACAACAGCATTTGAACAGGTGCCTTAACACAAGTGCAGACTGAAGATCTGCCATAAATTAACCTGAACTTGGGATCTGTGTGACTTCCTAGTGCAAATTATGATAAAGCTAAATATTATTGCCATAGAATAGACTTGTATAAGAATAGCATAGTAACAGAGGGAAATAGAGTTGATGGACATCTCTCTCTGGAGCAGTTTTGATTGTGTGTTTTGGGGGGTTTTTTCAGCCTGCCCTTGGTTTTCTGAACACTCACATTGCAATTCGTGGGGTGGCAGCAGGGTCCCTGCATGACACTGAATTCTTCTGCTCTAATCTTCATTGCTGTGATCAATGTTCTCTTCCTGAGTTATCATGAGCATCCTTTTGGGGCCTGCCCTGCAATCCATGATGCTTCTCTGACATAATAAAGGGGTAGAACACACACCCTGGGAAGTTGCTTGTGTCCATTAACATCCTTGTTTTTAAGACTAGCAAAAATGTTGTACACAGTAAATCTCCTGGATTTGAACTGGTTCTTTGTACTGCTCCCATAACTCAGTGTTTTTAAACTGCTTTTTGAGGGGATTATAACTCATCTCTGTCATTTACAAATAGCACTATATAAGCATTGGGTGTTTAATAGTTATTCCAATCATGCAGGCAACATTTTCTTAGCAAGCTCTTTAGGTTTTAGATTTTGTTTAAAGTGGTTCCTTTTTCTAAGTCAAAAGCATTAATTTTTAGGTAACAGGCACAGGTGTCCTTCAAACCTCCAGTTAAGTGGTCTCACTAAGTACTTGAGCAAAATGAAGGGTATTTAATCAGATGAAGTAGCTGGGAATAAAGAGCTGTATTGTCTCTTGGATGGAGGGAAAGTGTCTGAGTTTCATATCCAAGAAAGATGCAAAAGTTGTTGTCAAAATGCATGAGGGGCACCAGATGCTACCCCAAAAGAAAGGAGGGATGTCATTCTTCTTTCCCACTGTTCTAGTAATCAGAGAAGAATTCGTTTTCTTTTGTACAGCCTTGATAGATAAAGCTTCAATTGTGGACCCACTGTGGACTTCTGCATTAAGGCCTTAGTGATTAGGTACTTACTTGGGACTTCTCATAGCTAACAACTATGACATTTTTACATGTAGTTTGCATGGGTCAGATTTATATCAGACCTCTGATAGACTTAATTCAGGTGCTACCACTAATGCATTGTGCTCTCCATATCCAATTAAACATAAAAACATAGATCAGCTGAAGGAAGAACAAAACTTACTTTTGTCGTACTTCTGTATTGTTTTCTAGGATTCTATATTTTTTGTTTAGTACCTGTTAAGTAACATAATGCAGAGGTTGTTTCCTTTTCTGGATACATGACTGGCAAACTTAGTGAAAATCACCACAGGTGGATGTGGAAATACTGCTTCTATATTTGGAATATCTGTACATATCTACATACACCCCCTGTATGGGATCAAGTGGTACCTTAGTAATAGTTTGATATATGGGAATGGGACAAGTACTCACAAATTTTGTTTGTGCTAAGAATAAAAGAAGTCAATTTCTGCAAGTATGAAATAAAAGTTGTGCTGTGCAGTATGTCAGATTTCAATGGGAATAGTTTATTTGGTCTAAGCTGTCTAGCTTAGAGTAGGTCACAGCATGGACTGGAGATGCACAAGGTATCCACTGATTTGGGGCTTTAATAGTCAGGATTTTTTTTTTTAATCGGTCAAATACTTGCATTGGAATGAAACATCAGGCCCTAAGAGGTACTGATTTTCCTGAGTAGTGACAACCAGGAGGTGATTTCTATTTTTTGATTAACAGCTGTTCTGACTGTGGTGTTGCAGTGACATGGAATTGGTCTTTTCATTGCTGTGGCATTCACAAATGGTGCTTGGTAGCAATTTATTTCAGGTGCTATTAGCACATAACCTAGGAGGTTTTGGAATCAGGTTCCTATTGTGATTTGTTCCAGAGAGATCTTCCTAATCTTATTAATATCGACTGATTCTTTGTATTAGGGTTTTCCAGGGATTGGTGGAGTCTAAAGGATTAAAGGCCTCTGAGTCAAGGATGACCTAGATTCTGATAGATTTTATTATGCAAATCCTTACAGTCAGAGGTCATTAATGGAAACATCTGAAGCTAATATGAGTTAATATATTTGAGTGCTTTCTGAAATTAATGAGTGTTTTGGTTCCAGGTGAATACAATACAACTTATGTTTAAGTATTTTGAAACAGATTTAGAAGCCTACTCAAAAAGTGGATAAAATCTTAAATATCCAATGCTCCTTCTGAAAAGTAAGGATCCAGAGACACTTTTGAGCACAAGATTTTCCTCTGAAGTTTGGAAACTTTCTCCTCTACTTTAACATAATTTCAAGAAAATAGCAGATTCTAAAAATGAACAAAATTCCTGATTTCACTTTCATTTTTGTAAAGAAAATTCCCTGAGCTTTGTAAGTTGAAAAGGGAACAAAAAACTGCAAGGAGTTAAAAAAACCACTGTCTTTCCCACCTCAAAACAGAAGGATGATTTATACACATAACTATTTTACTGTATTTACAAAGTGCTCTGTTACTTGAAGACCTGATAAACAGAAGTAATATTCCTGAACAACCTGGTCCTTGTCTGTTTTGGTCCAGTTGTCCCTACTGTTTGAGTGCGTTCGGATTGTTTGCAGGGATTGGATCAAAACCAGGAAGATTCTCAATATAATTAACATATAAAGGCACTAAGGCATTTTCCCTTTATGGCAGCTTCCCAAAGTTCAGCACATGGACCTCAGACCACAACTGAAAAGCCCTCTCTTTGGCTGGTTAAATATGTTTTCATTTTTTCACTAATTTCTCATGCCTATGCACTTACATTTGTTTCTTTGATTAATTGTTCCCCTTTTATACTATGCCTTTTTCCTAAGAATGTGAAAATATGTAAATATGCCAAGTAAAGACATTCCATTTCAGGCCAGTAGTTGGGCAGGCCATTCTGATTACAATATTTATGAATAAACAGAAGAGTTTACCCAAATAATTGAAAGCTGACTCTGAAAAGCCAACAAGTAAGGCATATGTTCTAGTACTTGTTTTTGTAAGTCTCTTAAGCAAGGAGTCAGAGGTGGGGACAGCAGAAGGCACTCTCCCGTTTCTGATATCATGAGCATGCTGAGACAGCTTCTAATTTTGATGAATTTGATTTGGACCAGGATAATATCCTTGAAGTCCATTGTGTATGTATAGTGTAGCACTTAGTGACTGGCCTTAGGCTGACTTAGTGGCTGCCTTTTGGCAGCTGAAGCTTTAGACATCCCCATCCTCCTCTCGTTTATTGTGGACGTGCAGAATTCGCAGTCTCAGAGGAAATGCTGTAGGATGAGGATCCAGTGCAACTCGTTTTGAGCACAAACATTTTACTAGTGCTTTGCCACCCACACACAATGTCCTTCTCTGCTTTATGTTCACCCCTAGGTCCCTGTGGGACAAAGCTCTGCAGTCCCTGGGACATGCCTGTGGGAGAAGCCGTAGCCGGCACCGCATCCTTTGACATTTCCCAGGGCGCTGGTGTTTCTCACTCTGGTGCTTCACTGCTGCCAGCAGCACATACCAGCAAAATGTGGGTTAATGGGGCAGGCGTGGCACAGAAAAGTCTCTGGTGGAGTCATTAGGGTTGGCTGGCAGGCTGCCAGCTCGGTTGGTGCAATTTTACACTCACTTTTCAGCACAGGCTTAAAGGGAAAACCTCCGTTCCTTTAAGCCTTTGCAGCCAGCGACAGGCTGCCGGGGCATTCCTGCCCCTGTCCAGACCTCTGATGAGCAGCTGGCTGGAAATTCTCATCTAAGCACTTGCAATGATTTGTTGCTGTGATTGTGGCTTTAAAACTGGTAGTCAAGACTATTCATAATTAATGGATCTGCTTGGGGTTGATTGGTGATATTGCTGTCTCCTATGTTTGGATTTTCCCAGAGTTAAAATGCAGAGTCTGAGTGTGTTTTGAGGAGGGGGTTTAAGTGCTGGAAACAAAAAGAAACCCCAAAACCTCAACCCCTGGGAAGGCATAGCTGAGCAGGCACAGCTAGACTAGTCAGTACCATACACACATTCCAAAGATTGTAGGTCTGTCCTGCAACAGGCTTCAGTTGCATGAGAAATTAATAGCAGCTGATAGTGCTCAGCTCCTGAAAGGGTTAGGATATCACAGCTATAGGAGATTTTAATTTGTTGCTCATATAAAGAGTTATTCAGAATAAAATAATTAGTTATTGTTGTATAATGAACAGAAATTGAATTGGGTTTTTTAGAAAACTACCTGATATTATATTTATCTTATTTTCTTCCTTTAAATGGAATCAATAACAAATGTATCTTTTTAGGTATACAAATTTTAGGTCAGTTTTCCTGTGAAACATGCAGCCTGAGTTAATGCCTATTGATCTGGAATTAGAGAGCAAAAGGGTTAAATCTCTATCCCTCTCTGATTTATATTTCCCTCCCCTTCTTTCCAGCTGTGGACATGGATGGAAGATCTGCAGAAGGAGCTCTTAGAGGATGTCTGTGCTGACTCTGTGGATGCAGTTCAGGAGCTTATCAAGCAGTTTCAGCAGCAGCAAACAGCCACCCTGGATGCTACCCTCAATGTTATTAAAGAAGGGGAAGATCTAATCCAGCAGCTCAGGTAAGCATCCACCTGGGGCACAGGTGTTGAGAAATCTGATGCATGCTGTGCTTCAGGGATACCTAAATAGGGAACTGCAAGCTAGGATCAATTTGGAGAATTTGTTAGTTCTTTGCTTATTTATGATTCCTCAGATCCTTTGAGTGTTTTATTGAAATTACAAGGAGTGATTTGTGTGGACTGATTAGAGTAGTCTGTGGATCAGCATTGGTTTCCTGTTTGACTGAGAGATTATTTATAGGCACTGGGAAGTGAATGGAACCAAATGTGTTTGAAGTGAATATTTTTAGTTGGTATTTATAGAAGATTGTTAAATGGCTGTGAACTGAGGCCCCGTGATTTATATGGTTATTCCTGATGTAGGGTAAGTGTATTCCTCTTAATAAAATACACACGTGTCTAACAGGCTTCACTGTTTCATTTTGCATGCAGCACCCTTCTATTTATCTTTGTGTATGTGGGGTTTATTCATAGTGTCAAAGAGGCTCTTTTACTGCTGGTTCTTCTACTTGCACTATGAATTAAACCAGCTCATTTTTGCCTAATTTAAAATACATGAAGAGACTAGCCCCAAGAATTTAGGGGGAGGAATGTTGGGGGTTTTGTTGGGGGTTTGATGTTTTCGTTTCTTTTCTTTCTCAATCTGCAAGTATCGTCAAATGAATATTTGCAGAGTAAGCTTATACAGAATTTGTAATTGTGAAATCTCTCTCATTTATTGTTACTGTGCCTTTAGCTTTGTTGACAGCAGTGAAGTTTTCCTGCCTTTTAGGGATGTTACTGGGCACTGAACCAAGTCCAGTACATCCCTTATTATTTAGATCTTTGTATTGTTACAGGTTGCCCTTATCCACATGTACATAGTGTGCATGTTCTGTATACATTATAATATGCAAATATCCCAAGATTTGTGCATTTCACCAGACAGTCCAAGAGAGTGATATCATCCTCCTCACCCTGCGCTTGCCTAATCTGATGCCTTTAGTTCTCATCTGAAATGTGCAGAAAGCCATGAGCCATGATAGGAGCCTGCCAGGAAAAGCCCAAGATGCTCTAGAGCAGAATGGACAATAAGGGCTCTGGTGGAGCTCTGCCCTTAAAAGCCCTCTTAGAGTCCTTAAGTATTTTACTACTGCCATATGCTGAGCTTTCCTCTAAGCTTTTTCCTGTCATCTTGGATGCAGGGTTTTCTCTGCTGAATCAGAAAAAAATAACTAATGAGAGATTTAATAAGACTGCTCTAGGTTTTGACTGTCATACAGCCCTGGGCAGCCCCATTGGAAAGGCCAGGGAGATTCCTACTCTTGCTGTGACTTGCCAGCAGCACAGGGGAGGGCGAGGGACTGGAGTTGTGGTATTGCTTGTCAATATTAGAGTTGGGGAGGAAGGATCAGGAGTAGACATTCCATCATTCTATTCATCTTTGCTGATGAGATCAGTAGGATAGAAACATGCTGGGTTTGGTAAGTGAGCTGGAAGAGGGGAAGGGGTTTTAGCTAAGAACACATGTATGGCCAGCTGTAGCAGGTCAGTCAAAGGTCTGCATGGTAACTTACTTTTGTGCAAAGAAATTATTTGCAAAGTTTAGGGCATTTCTAATTAAAAAAAAAATAGCAGTGAAATTGTGGGCTAAACATTTTTTGTTATTCTTCCCAACTATTGGAATGGCATCACTTCAGTGTGAACACACATGGAGAAGAGCCTGAAAGGAACCCATTTCAAGCTCATCAGGTGGAGTGTGGAGTGGTTTGTGGGGTTGCAGAAAGTGTTGACATTTAGAGTCCTGGTTCTGGTTGTGGGATTGTCCTAAAGGATTAGCCTGCAGCTGAGTCAGAAGGGAAGTGTGGAGAGTGGGCAGAGTAATATCTAGAGCTGAGAAGTCAGTGAAGCACGGGGAAGAGGTGAACTGCAAAGTGGTGTGTGGGACTTCAGCTTTTTCTTAATGTGAACATAGTCAATTCTTAGTTTCAGTCTTGGAAAAGTAACAGTGGCCTCAGCTTTGAGACTTTTTTTTAATCGATGTCATGCTCCAGTGTTTACAAAATACCATGGCAGGTTTTGTGGTGGCTGTGTTTAACAAAGAAAAGTTGGGTTTGGGGTCTAGTTTGTGCTCTGGGCAGTGAGCAAGGTAGAAGAAGGTGAATGTATTTGTGCAAAGGGATCCCCTGGTTTTGATGAAGTTTACCAAACCCAGAGAGAACAGCTGCCAAACCTTTAAGATGAGCTGGTTCAAGTGTTGGATTTGAGTGCGCTGACTAACTGCAAAGCTCGTAATGTGATCCTGGACTCTTTCAAAGCAGAGCAATATGGAAAAAAACTGATGAAGCTGCCTCTGTGTGTGCCCACTCTTACCAGCTTTTGTGGCTGCTGGCAATAGTAAAGAACACACAGATAAAGGAAAAAAAGAAAAACTATAATGTGCAGTCTTTCCTTAACACAGGATTGCATTTCAGTGTGGATCCCCTTGTACCTGCCACGAAGAATAGATGAAGATTGCAAATGCTACAACAGTGAAAAGAATGAAATGTGCTACTCTTATAAAGCATCTCATAACCTGGGTTAAAAGCAATAAAATTACTGGAGCTTTGGAAAATTTTATGGTTCTTGTTCTTGTCTTTGAGAGAGAAGATTTTGGTTTAGAGAGGTTCATTTGTGCAATAGCACTCTGTTTCCTCCAGATAGGCGATGAAAAGCTCAGCTGCCTGAACTAAATACCATGCCTGGGACTGCACTTCACACGAGGTCTTCAGGGCCTCAGTGACTACATCAGGAGGCCATACCTATCAGAAAAACAACAGGCCTGCCTAGAAAGTCTGTGCATGTCATGGTTTACATTGGAAACACTTTTCACTCTTCCTTATCAGTGCTTTACTGAGGTGATCCTTGTTCTCAGCAGTCAATGCAAAACAAACCTTTTGAACTGCAGTTCCAGGGGTGCTGCTGGGGGCAATATTTCTGGTCATCTGTGAAAGGAAAAACAATGACTTGCTCCAGTGAGATGTGAAAAGCAGGAAAGTTTGTGACTGAAAAAAAAAAAAAAAGCCAGTGAAGAGTTGGGTATCTTGCCTTTTTTCATTAGTTCAGCATATAAACTTTAGATAATATGTGTTTCTCACTGAGCTTTCCCCCAGTGAAAGCACTGAAAGTGGTTTGAGGAGCACAGTGTTCATTTTAAACAAAGTCAGCAGCAATATACTGAGTCCAATTTTATGTTCCCCAAAGTTTATTTTGGGTTTTTTTTGCCAATAATTTCCTTGAATTTTAAAACTCTAATCCATAGCCTTTCAAAGATTAGTAAGGGTCTTATTCTTTCCCAGAGCTTCTCATCACCAGACAGAACAAGAAATATTGTGGCAGAAGCATGCAATGTCAGAAATGTGTTTTTCTGTAGGGAACTCTTTCTCAAACCAGTCTAGTTAGGGGTTGTCAATGCCTTATCCAAGGAGACAAGAAAAAACCCCACCAGATTACTACTCTTAAACTTTTGTATTGCATCAGTCACTGAAGTGCAAGTGTGGCTTGATTTGAGAAGTGAAATGTTTAATGAAAAGGAATTTCTAAAACTAAGTATGTCTCTAGATCCCGTGAGAGATTATTCAACACCGGTCTTGAATAATTCATTGAGTAATTTAGATAATATATGAATAGTAATAATCCTGCATCTAAGTGAAGACTTATTTCATGTACTTTTATAGAAGACAGGTGCTGACTGAAGGAAACAGAGCTTGATTGGATGCAGCCTCAGATTAAGCTGTAGTTTCAAAATCTCTAGTTATTTTCATTCCTCCTTCCTCTGTGCAGCTCTAATGTGGAGGCAGAGACCCTGTGATCACCAAGAACGTGAAAACAGACAAAGTGGGGAAAAAACCATACACCTGGTGTAATATTCCCGTATAAGCAAGGGAAATCGGTAGTACTTACATCTAAATCTTATTTTAGCTGATGTGCCAAAGCCAGGATTAAATTTTGGCTTCAGAGTTTCCTTTCTGGCCCTTCTGAAAGTTGAGGGACCTTGTGTGAAATGTTTGAGGATGAATTTCAGATCTTTACATCTGCAAATGGTATTTGTTCATAAAACAGTCACTGAAAAAAAAATAAATTGTTGACGACAGAGCAGGATGTAGATGAGCCTGTTTCTATATGTGAAAGCACAAATAGAAAAGGAACTGTCAGGACTTTCCTGTGCCCGTACTAAGCTTTCAAGTACAGCAAATTCCCCCTTAGTCCTGGCCCACCAGTTAAAGGGTTTGCTCCCTTCTGCTGCCTGTAAATGGAAAATGGAGCAGTATCTGACCTGTCACAGTCACATCTCGTTTCACTTCCCCCAGTGAAAAGATAAGTCAGGATCTCTCTTGGAGTTTTTGAAAGGTGTGTTGGGGTTTTTTGCACTGTGTTCTGTATCCATCGCTGTACTACGTTATCCAGAGGATACCAAGGCATCCCTAGCCATTGGTCTAAAATACTCCTAATTCTAATTCAATTAGTCTGTAAGGAATAGGGCAAATGCAGGAAATTAACTTGTAAAGGTGCAGGTGGCTGAATAGCATCTCAGTTTGATGTAAGTATGGGCAGGAGCAGGTGACCTTGTAGCATTAAAGGTGATTCCCAGCCAGTCTCCTCAAGAGAGCCATTGAGATGGATGTGCCACCTCCTCCCCTGCCCCTCCCAAGCTGTAAGGTCACAGTGTCACCACACAAGAAAGGAAGATCCCCTGCTCAAACTTTGTGCTGAGCTCAGGAGCCACAGGATTTCTTGGCCTGAGTAGACGAGTGTTGCACACACCTTCCCTCAGCCCTTGGTGCTTGGGTTGGCTCCTCAGCAGCACACAGAATCACAGATGTGTAGTTCTTGCTCTTTTGCCTGCCTCAAAGCTCAGCTCTAAGCCTGCTCTCTGCCTTGCTCCAGGGACTCTGCCGTTTCCAACAACAAGACCCCCCACAACAGCTCCATCAGCCACATCGAATCCGTCCTTCAGCAGCTCGACGAGGCCCAGGTACAGATGGAAGAGCTCTTCCATGAGAGGAAGATTAAGCTAGACATTTTCCTTCAGCTCCGGATTTTTGAGCAGTACACCATTGAGGTAAGAGCTGGCTGCATGACCTGAGGGCAGGGGGAAGCTGTGGGGTGAGGATCTGTGAACATACCTGTGAGGGTACCTCTTGAGCGGTTTGATTCTGCTCAGCTGTGCATCGAGCGGGAGACAGAAAATTACAACTGTGCTTTCATTCAGACTGTTGGACCTAAAGCACACTTGAGGATAAACTGCCAGAATGCACTGAAATTGGTGCATGGTGCTTACCTGACTGTGCTGTGAATCTGCCTGCCTTGCAGAGAAGCTTTATGAGATTGCTGTGATAACTCTCTGGTGACATGAGTCACTTATTAGTGAGGTTTGCCTCTTCAGATACAAAGAGATATACACTTGTCTTTAAACCACAGAGTGAAAAAACATGTTATGCATAAAAGAAAAGGATATTTAAAAGGTGGGCTTTTTAGACACTGTAGTGGATTTATTTTAAAAGGAAAAAAAAACCCAGAGGGGAAAATTAAAGGGACGTCTTTATGTTCTCATGCAAAAAAAAAAGGTCTTTCAGTTCTGTTTTGGAATCAAAAGCACTGGATGGAAAATTCATCAAAATATTGGGGTATTCTTGGACTTAGAAGTTTTGAAGAGATTCCAGCCAATCTCAGTAATTACTTTCTGTAGTTCTGATAGGAGATGAAAAAAGAACAAAATGTGTATTAACTTGTACACAAAGTCTATGAGACTGGTGACAGTGCTTGTGTCTTCTGTGGGGTGTGTTCCTCCTGCTGTGTCCCCCTGGTGCCTGTTCAGTTCAGGGAGCACCTGTCAGTGTTTGAGGATGATACATTCCTGGAGGTATTGTTTGTAAATCTGTAGGTAGCCTCAAGGTGGGTACTGGTAACTAATGGGAGGTTCAGAATTCTGTGTTAAATTTGTGTTTAAGACATGGCATGATGAATTATAGTGGAATAAAAGGCAGGAAGCAGGTGTCCAGTTTCCTAAAAGGTGTCCTGTTCTATAGCTGAGTGCCAGACATAGGAATCAGTGAGGAGTATCTGAGCTTTTCTGCTGTGACTGCACAGTGAGGTATTTCACTGCAGTCTGTCCGACAGTGCTTGTTAATTATGTAAATTAGAATAGTTTCATTTACTTAGCAGTAATGTGCATCTTCCTTGCTATTGAGAGACAGCATTCTTTGTGTATTTGTGTATAAATACATAAATGTATCTATTTCACGTCAGATACTGCTCTTTCAGCAAAGTATGTTATCTCCTATATTTAAATAGAAGAGACTTTATACATGTTGGTGTGGCAGATGTCGAATAATTGAGAGTTTTACTCTAAAGATGTAAATGGGTGTGAATGCTGTGCTTAAACATACCTGTAAATGGCACCTGTGTTTTCGAAAATGAAACAAAAAAAAAAAAAGGAGACAACCAATATGTGTTTCTGCAACACCCAAATGTGTTTGTAGACAGTATGTGGTAAACCCATGTAAATTATTCATTAAGGTCTCAGCCTGTTTCACTGCAGATTCAAGGTCTGAACCTATAATTGTGCTGATTTAAGGAAAAATATTTTTTAAAAAATTAAAACAAATCACTGTTCTCAAATTCTTTTCCTTTTTAAGTAGTCTTTCAATCAAAGGGTGTCACTACCAGGCATTCCTTTACTGATGGGGCAACTGCTGCATCAGGAGAGGGAGTAATTTACATTATTCCCCTCACATGGGATACCAGTATGGAAATACTTTGTGGATACCTTTGATTTGTTTCTGCATGGATCCTACTTCTGTCTAGTCACAGAATGGAGTGGCTGTGAAACATTAAGATATTTAAAACTGGAAATGTGCTTCAGAGTCTTCTGAAATCAGATTAGCTAGGAAGGATTTTAAAGAAAATCACCACTTAGTTGTCACTGTAGATTTGCTATTTTTTATCATATGAACATCTGAATTCCCTCTGCAAGATTAATATTACAGGGAATTCTGAGAGCATATTTCATAGTGTCAGATGGGCAGATCATTTTATTTAGAAAGCTCCCTCTCTCAGAAAAATAATTTTTATTTTAGAAAAATTATGACAATTTCTACTGAAAGCACAGTGAAAAACATATCCAGGTCAGTATCTTAAATCCTCTAAGTACAGTTAGTGCTTAAACAAGAAAGGAAGTTTGATGGATAATAAAACAAAGGCAGTTTGAAATAAAATCTTAAATAACACATGTATGCTATGCATTTCAAACAATGACTGAATTGGCTAAAATTGACACAGTAATGGTGCTTAGAAAGTAGATTGCAGTCAGTTGCCTCAGCTGTATAATGAAGATTCCAAGTCAGTAGGAAACAGTTACAAGAATTAACAGAATTAGCTCATGCCATTGTTGAGAAACAAAAAGATTTTTTTCATCACCATCATTTAAAAGCATGTATATTTCTGATGGTTGATTATTCCAAGGTATTGAGGGAAAAGGATAATGATATTTAAAACAGGAAATTAAGTATTTTTTTTCCTACTAAAGACAAGTAGCTTGAGCTATGACTGGAAATGTATTTAGGTTTTAATTTTCCGTAATAGCCTAGATCCTGCATAGATTAAGAATTGTGAAATATTGTGTACCAGTATGATTGACTGTCAGATGAATTTCTCCTTTTCTAGTCTAGATAAGCCCCCTTCCATCTGTCCAAGGAGCAGTGCCATATTGAGCACATCCTTAGTGAAAGAGCTCTACCTGCTGCAGCTGTGTTAATCCTTCCTACACTCACACAAACTGCCTGCAAAATGTGGGTTCTCTGCTCCTAAACTTGAACATCTTTCTCCTCATTGCTGCTTCTGCCTTGTCAAGCACTGAGTTTCCCATTTTCCCCTTTCAGGTGTGTGTTCTTGGGTCTGTTGGTTCTTGTGCTCCAGGGAATCCCTTGACATGAGGACCCTTCCCTGGCAGCTCTGGTGAGAGGAAGATTTGCATCTCTCTAGTGGAGGATGCAGCTGTGGGAGCCCATCTGCTTCCAACTTCCAAGCTTTCCAGCTTTAGGGAAGGCTGCACACTAAGAGCTCAGCCTCAGAAAACAGTTACATCTCATATTGTTTCTTTCCATGCAGTTTTGGTACTGAACATTTTTGACCCTGTTAATTTTCCCTGCTGCTCTCTCTCTCCCCTTTCTAATTAATAATGCAAACAAAGTATTAGGATTTTTTAAAATTCACAAATGGCAAATGAGTTATTTTGCCATTTTGTTTAGGAAGTGTCTGTCTTTTGTTCTTTGGAACCTACCCTGCTTTGACTGTTCTCCCCAAATATTGAAATATGTGCCCTTGATCACATAATGCATTCCTCTGGCACTCCTTCCTAAACTTACACTGCACCCATCTGTTTTGTAGCCCTCCTGGTTTTTGAGCTTTTCTATAATCTTTGCATCTTGACAGAGGTTTGGAATCCAGACAAACTTTAGGATTAATGATTACTGTACAATCAACACTCATTTCCATCTATTTAGGCATTATTGATCTAGTACTTCAGAGAAATCTGTCAACTATTATTGCATTTTGTCTTCAGGAAAAATACTTTAAGAGAAGCCACCCTTCTTTGGCAGGGCAGGCCAGCTGTGTTCATTTAGGACTTTAAAGGACTTTTAAGCCTCACAGGCAGCTTTTGTGTTGTACTGGAGTCGTGGTAGGTTTGGCAGATACAAATTTTGGTACAAATGCACAGACCCATAGCATGTTCTGCATGTTCTTTCTTGCCTTAATCTCATGATATTGACTGATATTTACACTCTGGGTTCTTGGGGTAAGTGATAAATCCCAACTAGGGCAACACCTGAAAACAGACATAACAGAAACATGAGAGACCCTGGCTGGCCCTGCAGGAGACTGTTCTGCCTTAAGTTTTAACCCCACAATGACAGCCCATCCTTTATTTAGGAAATGTGTCTAACTCTGATGCCTGATATGTTTTATTCCTTTACCAAACCACAGCACGTTTCAAAACAAGACAGGGTCGTTGGGATTATATGGTTGATCTTTCCATATGACACAGACTTCCATGGAGTTTGTGCAGGCAGCCAGGTGACTCAGAGATTTCATGGAATGTGAATGTGGGAGCTGATCAGCTGTGGGGGAATCGGGAGTAAGGCTGGAGGGGTGAGGGCTGGCAGACATCAGCAGCAGTGCTGGCACCATGCTGAGTGTATTGTACATACAAAGCACAGCCTTGCTCCAGAGTTATAGCTTCAGGAAGATCTGTCAAGTATACTTTGTCCTTTATTTCAGAAATAGTAATTTAAAGGCTTATTAACATTATTTGAGTGAATGCAAATGTACAGCAAAATGATGAGTAGATGTATAAGAACCAAATGGTAAAATGTGCTGAGTTGCATCTCCTAAAAAATTACTGCATGCAGTGTCTTTCTGCATATATTTCTCTTTCAGCGTTTGTAGCGAGATTATCAAATTCACCTGTAGGCCTCTATTGAACAATACAACTGAGAACACAAATGATCTCAGCCAATACATATCCAGCAACATTTGTTGGTTACCTCAAGAAAACCTCCTTCTCCCTTTCCCAGAAGTGTCCAGCTCCTTCCCTTGCATGTATTTGTTTCCTACAATGTGAAATGCTAGACAGAACCTGTGTTCTGTAGTCTTAGAGTGATGTGATTCCTACACCAAGACAGTCCTGGGAGGGATTAAGGGGGTTTCCACTGCACAGTATAAATTGGATCTTGTAAGCTGTTTGTTATATTTCAAAAAACCCCATGATCATTGAAATCTTCACCTGCTGGATGTCTAATTTTTTCCCCATTCAATTTCTTTGGCTCCATTTCACCTGCTAATTAAATTTTTCAGCCTTGATTTCTCTTGCTGCTTCTTCTGGCTGTTCACAACAATCCCTGAGCATGAATTTAGGAGGAAACAGGAGCCAGCTTTCACAGCAGCTCATTTCACTGTTATTTACAACTCATTTGAGTGTCCCATTACAGGTTTATAACACTAGCAGGACCTTTCAAGAGCATTAGATGCCTGCTAAAGGTACAAGATGTTTTGTAGGCCCCT